CAGTCTGCAAACTGCCTCCATTTGTTAGCTGGGACTACTAGACCATCTCAGAACATCTGCATCGTTTTCTACCTCTTTTGAATCCTTTGTCCCAAATTACTATCCTTTTATATGGACATCGTTCAAGGATCAACACCATGGGATGAATAATGCATTGCAAAATGGTAACAAAATTAAACAGAAATACAAGAGAAAACTGGTTAGTAATCATAAATGAATTATTCGGATATAATTTGTCACTAAAACATACCACATGTTGTCTACCCAATCATGCTTTAGTAGATGCTACCCAAACAAGATTTTTACCCACATGCTTCGTTTAAAGACAATCTTATCCTCATGTCATCTAGTTCGCATGTTTATTCGAAAAATTAAACCTAACCGCATGATCTTTAGTTCACATACATTTATTCGAAAAAGTGAAATTAAATGACTCAAAAAGCTTTTCCTTGTGTACTCTCGTTACGGGACTCTTAAGGTTTGAGTTAGACTCTACCTAGGTTGGGGTTTTAAGTTCAGTATATGTTGGGTTCGATTCTAAAGTAATAGGTTCTCAAATTGTTCTTGTCGGTGCCCCCTTGGGCTACCGAACCCTTAATCTTAGCCTGTCATAGGCTTTTAGGGATTGAGTTCAATTCGAGAGAACACACCTCCTTATGTCCGTGCGGAGGTGAATACCATCACGAGGACCATAAGGCATGAGCTCCAGGAGCGATTCACTATCCCATGCAGAGGTGAAAACCACATGAGGGAGTAGCTTCTCACTCCTACTTAAATAGGACAAAGCGAGGTTTTATCTCATTTTATGCAAATGCAGTTGTGCAGTGTGTGAGGAAAAGCAAACAATACTGATTAGAAAACTCAAAACCTTAAACAATTATTTACTCTGAAAACATTAACAAACAGATCAGTACAACTATTTAGTGGATACTTAAATTACAAACACTTATTTAAGCTAAACAAGGGATCAAAAACCAAATTAGAGTGAACTTGTAATTTTTATTTGCGAAGACAATTACTTAATCGACTAATGGCTCGATTCTCTAAAACATGTTCCCAGCAGAGTCGCCAAGCTGTAGAAACGATCTTTTCCCGAAGGGGGAAATGGAGGTCCAGTTTCGAAAATAATTCTTGGAACGACCAGTTAGTGAAAAAAACGTAGTTCGAGGAGTCGCCACCAATTTTTGATTAGGTATGATTGGGCACCCAAAAATAAATTTGTCATTTTAATAAAATATTAATTTTAATTAAAATGAAAAACTTACGGTCTACATTACCAAAATTTGAGTTCGGGAGTCGGTTACATGTGGGGAATGATTAGCACCCTCACAACGCCCTAAATCGGTACCTAGTCGATTAATTAATTGTCTTTGCAATAAAATTTACAAGTTCGAGTCTAATTTAATTTAAGATCCCCCAAAATAACATTCTTTGAAATTTGGATGAAAGATGATAATATTTAATTATTTCCTATCGAGAAGAATCGATCTCTCATACCTTGAAGTAATTGATTCTTACTCCAATCAAATAAAGAAATATTAAAATTTCATTCTAAAATTCACTATTAATTCAACATAATAACACCCAAAATAATTTTATGAGTGAAAACGATAATATCTAATTATTTCCAATCGAAAATAAATGACCTTTCGTGCATTAAAACAATCATTTATTACTCCAATTGAAATAAAGAGATATTATTATTTCATCTTAAAATTACAAAGTGATTCGAATGAAAACGATAATATCTAATGATTTCCAATCGAGAATAAATGACATCTCGTACCTTAAAGCAGTCATTTATTACTCGAATCGAAATAAAAGGATATTACTATTCTCAATATCAATTCGATTGTTATTGTTTTGAAAATCTATTGGAAAACAAATGCAAAAATAAAATAAATAAAAAACATACATCAAGCAAACACAATTAATTAATTAATTAATTAATTTACTGATATTTAATGAAAATAAGGATGTTCAATTATTTAAATATATCGAGACGAGGTCTTAGACTCGTTCTAACAGTCTTTTCTCGATGAATTTAAATAAAAGAACATTATTTTTTCTCAATTCTCGAATTTTAAAAAATGAAATGACTCAATTTGTGTCACTAAATGGGATAGACTTTCATTTTAAAATTATAAAAAGTAATTTTCTAATACGTTAAGACTGTCACTTTACTACAATATTAAAATGATCGAATATTACTCTTAGTCAATTTATTTTGATTCGAGTCAAGGGATGCTTATGAAGCTATCATACAAAATTAAATAGGACTAAAATGAATTAAAATGCAAACAACATGCAAAAATTAAAATAAAAATAAAAGTACGACTAAAACATAAATAATCAAATTATCGTGCAAAAATAAAAATAAAATATACAAGGGACTAAAATGAACATTTACAATATTAAGTGCAAAAATAAAAATAAATAAAACATAGGGTTAAATTGAAATAAATTAAAATTACATGGCCGAATTAAAAATAAATAAAAACATATATTCATATTGAAAATACAAACATGCAGAAATATAGGGGGCTATACAGAGAATATCCCTAAAAACAAATATCAGCATAAAAGGGTAAATTACAGAAACATTCCCTACAAGGACTAACAAGAAAAACACGCTAAAAGTATGAGGACTAAACTGAGATTAGACAAAAATTTTAAGGCAGCGTAAAAATGGAAAAATAACAAATCTGGTCCCTGCCAGTGAATTCTTTACAAAAACACGACAAAGTTCGGGGGACCTAAACGTGATTTCCCCAAAACTTTGCCTATATATACCAACTTATGTTTTTTTTCATTTGAACCAAAAATACGGGAAAAAAGGAGAGAGAGAGAGTCATTTTCTCTCTCAATTCACTTCGGTCGGCCCACTACCGGTCGCCCTACACGTCGCCGTTCGGTCGCCGTACACGGTGGCCGGAAATCCCAAAATGACCCAAAATATTCCCCAAACTCATATATACACTCCTGGAAAAATATATAAGCCTAAAAATTACCTAAAAGACCCTAAACAATCCTAAATCAAGCCCGACCCTTCGATTCTCACGCACTCCAACGACCACCGACGAAGGCGGACCGGCTCTGGTTCAACTCTCCTCTTTAGCTAATCTACTCGACCCCCTCTTTATTTTTTAATACATGCAAATCGGTTCACTTTTATTTATTTATTTTCGAAATCAACCGAAAATAAAAAGAAAAAAAATATACCTCAAATTTATGATAATATTGCTTTGTGTTTGGAAAATCCAAAAGGGAGCCCCAAACAAAGCTCGATCGTTCGGCTTCTCACTCCCTCCGACGACCAGCAAAGACGAACCAGCCCTGGTTCGAACACCTCCTAAGGTAATAGATCTATCCTTATTCCCTCTATTTTAGTTACATGAAAGCCTTATTTTCATTTTTTTTATTTTTTTTATTCGAAATCTACCGAAAAATAAAAAAAAATATATGCCTTAAATCTCTTATCTTATTGCTTTTTGTATTCTGGAAAAATCCAAAAGAGGGACCTTTTTAGATAGCTTGCTTTTGGTTTTATACCCGTTTTACATTAGATATTAGTTCTAAAAAATCTGACTTTCTTGATCTTTGCTCTGATTTTCCGTCATGATAGGACATGGTGAGTTGGTGGAGGTGTGGTGTTCGATTGGTGGTGCAGAGGTGAGGCAGCATGGGTGTTGCTTCACGTGGGTCTGATGGAGCAGGGTATGGGGTTGGCATAATTCAGGTTTGGGTCGGGTCGGTTAGGCCAGTTTGAATCCGGGTTGTAATGCGACTCTGACACCTTTTATTCAAACTGTACGATTTACACTTTGATAACTGAGTTAAATCAACCTCAAATATGCATTATTCGAATCTATAAGTACGTATTAGACTTATTAATGATTCATTCATGCAATTGGGAATCATTGTATACACTATACAGGCCATAAGGACCTATTTTAACTTGCAAACAAACTTTGGGCGACAAAGTAAACATTTTTCGTATTTTAAGTCAGAGTCTAAGATATCCAGCAGCACAGCTTGGCGAAGAAGATCAATTATCCACCTGAAATCCGAATTTTCTTAAATTAGTTATTTATTTTATTGATGGTGCTCACCCAAAAATTTTTTGCACCTACCCTGAAATCTGAGTTTTCTTCGATTAGTTATTTATATTACAGACAATGCCCACCCAAAAATTTTATTTATATACATCCCATTTAAAAAATATATATATTATTAACATATGTGTGCCCACCATAAAAAATATTTATGGATTCACTACTAAAGATATCAATACCTCTTATTTAATACTGGTATTTCACAATGTATTACTATCATTTGATGAACTTTGGGAGTCCATAATCAAACCTAATCATCCCGGGACTTCATACAACTTATATGAATATATTCTTTTCAACAAGTGCTCCATGAGATCGCTTCTATAACAAGTACTTGGGACTGTAAGAGTTAAAAATATTTCGATTTAGGCCAAAAATAAAGAAAATTGTGGAGCATTTATTTAGAAAAGACTCTATTTTTATTACTGATAAATCCATGCATTTGTAAAATAATTGGAAAACACATACATGCTACATCAGGATTCATTTTTATTATGAAGCGGAGAGAAAGAAATAAAAACAAGTGGACCCATTGAACAATACATTGCCAAATACAAATTTGTCTACATTATTCACGTCAGACGTGGAGACCAGGCTAGGCTCCCGATTTTCATCTTACCACCCTCTCTATATATTTGTTCAAACCATATTTTGTTGCTTTATTTGAATCACTCTTCTCCTACAAAAGAAAATCCATTGTTTTCTTATTGAGATGTTTAAAGATCAAAACGTTCAAAACAATTTGAAATAATTCATCTTGACATGATGGAAAAAGAGATTTTAATGTATGTTACCTTAGAGTACGGTCAAAGTCGTAGCTTAGTAGTGGTGAGGAGGAGGTGGTAGTGAAAAGTAGACATAATGGGGTGGTGGTGGGGGTGGAGATTTGTACTTGTAGACCGGTGGGGGTGACTGTGGTGACTTGTATTTGTATGGCTCCTTGGGAGGAGGAGGAGGAGACTTGTACTTGTAGACATGAGGGGGTGGAGGAGGAGACTTGTACTTGTATGACTCCTTATGAGGAGGTGGAGACTTGTACTTGTAAACTGGAGGAGGTGGAGGCGGAGACTTGTACTTGTATGGCTCCTTAGGAGGAGGTGGAGACTTGTATGATTCCTTGGGAGGAGGAGGTGGAGAATTATACTTATATGATTCCTTGGGAGGAGGAGGTGGAGACTTGTATTTGTATGCCTCCTTGGGAGGAGGCCGTGGTGACTTGTAATGGTAGGGTGGTGGTTACTTCTTAGGAGGAGGTGGAGGAGAGGAATAAGTGTAATCAGCTGAGGTTTCAAAAGGCAAGCTTAGAGACAATACTAAGACCAAGAGAGGAAGAAAAAGAGAGGTCATTGAAGACCCCATTTTTCCTATGTTTACTACAAAGCTGGGTTTAGTTTTGTTATGCTCTCAAGGGCGTGGCTGAGGGGGCGCAAAGTGCGCAACCGCGCAGGACCCTCAACCACTAATAAGTTGTTGCATAAAAATAGGGCCCCAAAATCTCTTTGTATATGTTCAGGGATAGTTTTCTGCCTCATGTTTGATTCCACTACATTGTGTCATGGGGTCCATGCGCATGCTAATACTTTTCAGCCAAGTGGGTATTATAATATTTTGGAGGAATTAAGTAGGACGCATGTGGGTTTTAAAGTGAACTTGCATGTTGTGTTGGAAGGCAAATTGCATGAGGTTCAGAGTGCGCCTGCTGATGGGTATTCGATCAAGGCCTTTGATGTTGTTGTATAAAAATAATCGTCACCAAACAGATAACATAGCCATTAGAATAGGGGCTAATCGTCACTCAAACAGAATGAAACTAATCGTCACTCAAACAGAATGAAACTAATCGTCACCAATTTGTCTAATAAGTTGTTGCATAAAAATAAGTCCCCAAAATATATAATAAGCATAAAAATAGGGGTCCCGAAATAGAATATATCTATCAGTTGTTGCCATTAAGAATTATAAAAATAAGAGTCTGGAATCGAATATATCTAGAAAAATAGGGGCCCTTTATAAGAATTTGCACAGGGCCCTTGATAACGTAGCCACGTCCCTGTATGCTCTTAGCCACCCTCTTCACTTGATTTATATAGACTTTGTTTTTACCTTGTAAACATAAGGAAGTTAATTTAAAATTGTAAAAAAGTAAAATAAATAAATAAATAAAAAGTAAGGGGTTGTTTGTTTACTTCAGAATGATTAAGCGCTGAATGATTCAAATGCTGAATGATTCAGAGGCTCTGTATGAATTAGCTCTAAATGTGACATGTTTTTTTATAATGACTCTGAATCATTCAGAATATACTTCTGTGTTGAATCATTCAGAATATACTTCTGTGTTGAATCATTCAGCACTGTTTTGCTGAATCAGTCAGTACTGAATCATTCAAAGGTACGAAATAAACGCGTTGAATGCTGAACGGTTCAGTATTCAGCGTTGAATGGTTCCATTAAGAGGTAAACAAACAGCCACTAAGTTTCAACTGGTTCAGCTTCATAGTTTATATTATTGAGAGAATCTTTTAAGTTGGCAACTTGTGTTGAAGTTGGCAGCTTGAGCTGAAATTGGTAGCTAAGCAGGAATAAAGTATTAATGATGCAATTGGCTGTCTCTTTTTCCCATATGTATGGGGTAAGGGGGAGGTAAGATAGTAGGCTACCCCCAACACCAAGTTGAGAGCAATTGCTAAATTTAATTAAATTTTAAATCAATTTAAAAGTATAATTTATTTTTAAGAATTATTTAGGTATTTATTTAATTTTTAAGAATTATTTAGGTATTTATTTAATTTTTAAGATAAAATTAAGAAAATAAGAAATTTTAAAATATTAAAAACTTTCATATATTCAAAGAATATTAAACAAATGTTTAAAAATTGAAATAATAAGAAATTATACGATGATAAATTACACATTACTAAAAACTTAATTTTTAAAAATAATAAGAAGAATTAAAAAAATTAAACACTTCCATAAAAAATATCTTTGATTGCTCTTATCAATCCGAGTCTACTATTATTCTTTAAATATATTTTAAATAAAATTAAAATTACATTAATTTAATAAGGAAAACGATGGGTGGATTTTTTAACTTAGCTTTCATTGATTAGTGAATATAATATGTTAATTTTCGTTAATGATTTAACAATTCAATGATCGAAATGAAAGTTTTCTTTAATACAATTATTCTAATAAATTCTTTTTATTTTGATGACTAAGATAAATATGTCCTAAAAGTTTAATAACTATGTGTATAATTTATACTAAAATTTATTATAATATAAATATATGAATATTTCAAAATTTACATAAGTATTAAAATATCTATATTAATATAAATATAAAACATTTCTAATATATAAATTAACATGTTGAATTTATAATTATCAAAATCTAGAAACTTACAATAATTATCACCATCTGTTTTATAACTGAAATATTTTTATTTTTGATTTACTATTATTAACATTTGAGGGTTGAACTCTGCTAGCCACAAGTTCAACTAGCAAGTTTCGAGAACTCTCAACAATTAGTATAATTCACCACCTGTTTTATAACTGAAATATTTTTGTTTTTGATATAATTATCAGCATTTGACTTATTCATTCATTAAACTTAATGATGAGAATGAGTCGAGTTTTTTATAACTCAATCTAACCCGATAAAGTACATCTTTCGTTGAGACTAGATCTGACTCGAATTTAAGGTGAATTAATTGATCCAAAAATTGATTTGTAACACCCTAAATTCGAATGGGCCTAAAGTGTCACATTGGGCTGCTGAGACAACCCCTGATTTTCAAAACATATTTCGTTTTCTTTTAAAACATGTTGAATGGTATCATAAATAAAACATAAATAATTATTATAAAAATATTTTATAAAATGGAGCTCCATGGAACATAATTTAAAAAAAAACAATACATATTGAGGATTACAACTCAAATACATAAGTAAGGTTCTATGAATACACTTGCCCACTAAAGTTACAATATAGTACTCAAAAAGAGATTATGGAAGTCCTGCTGCGATGATGCTCCATGAACTGCCTAAGCTACTGACTGCCAACAGAAAATATCTGAATATGTGCTTACAAAACCCATCAGTATAATCGCTAATCTAGAGCAACATTATAAGTTTCATAAACACAAGCATGCTAAAGATATAGTACTAAGCATTAGGTATATGCATGATCTAGATCAAGTGCTACCTATTTAAGGGTAAATTGTTCTATTGCTGAAGTAGGAGTCCCACACTTCCCTTAATCCTCTGATAAGGGCTTTGCCATGAGTACACCTATAAAGGGTCTTTAACCCTAATGACTGTAACTGCTATAAGTTATATAAATTTGACTCTAATATTCCTGTGAATTATTTGAATGCAACACTGATTGTGTTGTCCATTATTTGCGTGCAAAACTGACTGCATTGTGCATTATCTGAATGAGAACTTGACTAGTATCTGGTCTCACACAGCCATCAGACACTAGTTAACTCAGGGAACCCAATGTGACATAGCATTGGTGCAATTCCCACTAAATTGTTGAATGATCCCCTGGTCCTCACATAGCCATCAGGTAGATCATGGAGGGGCAACCTGGTGTCACATAGCATCAGTACAATTCTCGCTTAACAGAAGCATTGGCTTGTTCTCACATAGCCTTCAAGCCAAACTTTAAGATATCTGATGTACTGGACTGATGCAATTATGCATGTATGACAAAGGCCCGGAGGCCACACAACACTGACATCACTAGCCCACTCTTCGTGAGTGTTCAGGCCTCGTGCCCTAGTTAGCTTCTGAAGTGCCTCACGCACTGATAATGCCCCACTAAGGCAACTAAGATAACCTGGCTATACCCTAGCATACCTAGACTCACTAAAGTGTGGTCATTCTCTCACTAGTTGATATCTCACTCGTTCTCTTATCTAGAACGTTATGTGAAGGCTTATTAGTATGTTATTGTTTCTTGTTATTAAGCTTCTCTTTTCTTATCGTTCATTACTTAAGGACGTTTTTGTCATTTTTGCCTCTAGCGAAGTCTCTATGTGTTTTAGGGTTTTACGATGATTTATGTGGTTGTTGTTCACTGTTGTACTATTCTCTAGCCCGATACCTTACTCGGGTTCAACTCTGAGTAGCGAGACTCTAGTCATTCTTATCATGTTTCCCTTCAATACCCCTTGAATTGAAAAGACATCTTATACTTTCTAAGTTCACTGACGTTCTCGAAGCCACCGCTTTCACTATTATTGAATCTGACTTACTCATTGTATCGTTTGTCGGTACATATCCTGCAACAATCCTCGTTCTCAACTATTCATATGCGTGCTCAACTGAAGATATTTTGACATACTACGCTTAGTATGCCTACATCTGTTGTAACCCACTCTTATGAGTATTTCTAGGTATGTTTGGTTATTTATGTCCCCCACGGACTAAGTCTTACTATTATGGATATTCCTTAACTCTTACAAGCCTCAAATAGGTAAAATCTAACCATCCAAACTAAGTTGTATCTATACTCTACTTGTAGTATCGATAGTATCGATACCCCTATGAATATAGATACCAAAAATGCATTATGTTTCTGAAAAATAGGCCCAATATCGATTCTGTCACCCTGAGTATGAATTAAAATAATTCTAATTTTGACATGTTGATTGATAAATGATTTAAAAGTCCATTGTATGTTGCATTGAGATTCGTAGGTACAATTGGCATGCCATGAGGTGGAGTGATACTAATTATGATCTGGTACATTTGTGTACATTATGTATAGCACCATGGGTGTAGATGATATGATTGCACTTGGAGTGTATATTTTGATTTTGATGAAATCATTGAAGTGCTTACTGTGCACACTTGTCTGGCTCACGTATCTTGCATTCTCTTACATATACATTGGGTTATAGAAGTAAATGTGAAAGTTATGACAAGTATATGAAAGAAAATAATATGAAAATGAAATGAAAGTTCTAGAATATGTTCGAATGAAAATAATATTGTTCATGATATTTGATGTTGATTTACATGATTTTTGATAAAATCGTGAGATAATGATTTTCAAGTTTTCAAGAGGAAAACAACTTGAATAGCTAGGTTTGAAAGTTTTAATTTTTTTATTTAAATTACAGTTTTATGTTATAATACTTTATGAAATTTATTTTATATATCACTTTAGCTATGTTACTGCCTCACTAAGCTTTACTTAGCACATGATGATTTTCATGCATATGTTCATATAGAGAAAGGAATGTGAAGTGAGGAGCCTCTTGAGCCTTTCTTCAGAAAATCATACCTAATATTAGTATCAGTAAGACATCTTATCTTTTCCTTGTTAGTCGCATGTATATTATATATGTACGTTTCTTTATCGGATTTGTTTCTAAATGGTCTGTAATAGTAAACTAGGACCATTTTATTTTGGTTAGTCTAGTTATGTATGTATTTATGAACGAATAGTTTATATATAATTATGGGAGAATTAGTTTTCCTAATTAAGTAATGTTTAGCCAGTTTTATCATACACTAGTTATGTATGTATTTTGAACGTTCAAGTATTATTTTATGATTATATACAATTAATGAAATGGTTTTTAAAATTGATAAAGAAATGTTTTAAAATGAAACAAATTTTAAGTGTTTATGATTAGTGAATGTCTGTAATGTTGATGTAACATCTTTAACTCATATTTTGAGACGTATACGGGTTATGGGTGATCATACAAGCTTCCCAACTTAAAATTTCTAGCTTGAATGCATTCTAAAATCTCACAATTGGTATGAAAATGGTTGTAAATGTGTTACCTTGAATACTTGGTTTGCTAGGAAGGTCCTCAAATTACTCAAGAAACAACTTTCTCTTTTCCCTTTGCTCTTGAGCTTTGCCTAACTCTTTTCCCTAATCAAAAGTAAGGAAAATGGGTCGTTAACTTAACTAGGTAGATAGACTAAGAATAAAGACACTTCCTATCACTTGAAACCATCAAAACACTTAGAATCTAAAGATTCTCTTAAACCTCCCAAAAACCCATTTTTGGAAGCTAAATGAAAAACTTGGAAAATGGGGCTTGAAAGGTAGGTCTTGGATTGAGGATTTATAATCTTAACTTATTCCAACCCAACTAAGCTTGAAACCTTTGAATTCTACACTTGAAGAAGGAAGGAGAAGAGAAGAATGATGAGGTAAAAGATGAGTGTTTGGTCAGTTTAAAGATGAGTAGTAGTTCACGTGAAAGTCATATTATAGGGAGGGGATTTTCAGCTTTCAACTAACGAAGCGAAATTATTTTAACGAACCATGCATTTGTCAATAAACAGCAGGAAATGATATGTTAGCCTTAGACCATTTTAACGAACCATGGATCACAAGTTGGTCAGATGTTTTAATTTCTTTTTTGCTCAAATAAACAATAAAATAAATAAATAAATAAATAAATAAATAAATAAACTATACGAATAATTCCTTTTGTTTTTTGTTTGATTGACTCTAACACCTTTTATTCAAACTGTACGATTGGTTGAACATGTGATGTTACACTTTGATAACTGAGTTAAATCAAACTTAATATGCATTATTCGAATCTATAAGTACGTATTAGACTTATTAATCATTCATTCATGCAATTGGGAATCATTGTATACACTATACAAGCCATAAGGACCTATTTTAACTTGCAAACAAACTTTGGGCGACAAAGTAAACATTTTTCGCGTTTTAAGTCCGAGTCTAAGATATCCAGCCGCAGAGAGCAGCTTGATGAGGAAGAGCACATGCCCACCCTGAAATTTATATTTTTTTTTATTGATGGTGTTCACTCTAAAATTTTTTGTACCCACCTTGAAATCTAATTTTTCTTCTATTAGTTACTTATATTATGGACGGGTGCATACCCTGAAATTTTATTTATATCAATTTTATATTATTAACATATGTATGCCCACCATAAAAAAAATATTTCTGGATCCACCACCGAAGATATCAATGCCTCTTATTTGATACCGGTATTTCACAATGTATTACTATCATTTTATACTTTGATATTTATAAATATCAATATTTTTTCCCAAGTATCGATATCCTCAAGGTCGGCCATGAGCATAGGCCAGGGGTGCGACCGCCTAGGGCCCCAAGCTTGGAAGGGCCCATTTTTAAAAATATTTATAAGTTTAATAATTAAAAAATATTTTTAAACATATTTTTTATTTCAAACACTCGAAAATATGGTAATTTAGTGGGCCCCAATAATTAAAAAATATTTTTAAACATTATTTTTTATTAAAAAAACTTAAAAACATGATGATCCAATGGGCCCCATTTTAATGATTGAAAGGAAAACTAAGTGTGGACCCTCACTTATCTTCTTGTCATCCCCTCCTGACCTAGGGTCCTTAAAATATCAGGAACGGGCCTAGATATCCTGTAGTAAAAATATGCATTTTGGATCTTTTGATGAGCTTTGGGAGTCCATAATCAAACCTAATCATTCCGGGACTTGATACAACTTATATGAATATATTCTTTTCGACGAGTGCTCCATGAGATCGCTTCTATAACAAGTACTTGGGACTGTAAGTTTAGGCCAAAAATAAAGAAAATTGTGGAGCATTTATTTAGAAAAAGACTATTTTTATTACTGATAAATCCATGCATTTGTAAAATAATTGGAACACATATACATGTTACATAAGGATTCATTTTTATTATGAAGCGGAGAGAAAGAAATAAAACCAAGTGGACCCATTGAACAATACATTGCCAAATACAAATTTGTCTACATTATTCACGTCAGACGTGGAGACCATGGTAGGCTCCCCATTTTCATCTTACCACCCTCTCTATATATTTGTTCAAACCATATTTTGTTGCTTTATTTGAATCACTCTTCTCCTGCAAAAGAAAATCCATTGTTTTCTTATTGAGATGTTTAAAGACCAAAACGTTCAAAACAATTTTAAATAATGCAGCTTGACAAGATGGAAAAAAAGATTTTAATGTACGGTCAAAGTCGTAGCTTAGTAGTGGTGAGGAGGAGGTGGTGGTGAAAAGTATACATAATGAGATGGTGGTGAAGGTGGAGATTTGTACTTGTAGATCGGTGGGGGTGGCGGTGGTGACTTGTACTTGTATGGCTCCTTGGGAGGAGGAGGAGACTCGTACTTATATACATGAGGGGGTGGAGGAGGAGACTTGTACTTGTATGGCTCCTTAGGAGGAGGTGGAGACGGAGATTGTACTTGTATGACTCATTGGGAGGAGGTGGAGACTTGTATGATTCCTTGGGAGGAGGAGGTGGAGAATTATACTTGTATGATTCCTTAGGAGGAGGAGGTAGAGACTTGTATTTGTATGCCTCCTTGGGAGGAGGCGGTGGTGACTTGTAATGGTAGGGTGGTGGTGGGTACTTCTTAGGAGGAGGTGGAGGAGAGGAATAAGCGTAATCAGCTGAGGTTTCAAAAGGCAACCTTAGATACAATACTAAGACCAAGAGAGGAAGAAAAAGAGAGGTCATTGAAGACCCCATTTTTCCCATGTTTCAAAGAAAAATAACCAACTCTCCCTTCACGTTTCGTCATAAAAGAATGTAAGAGCTCATAAGCAGGGATAATATTGTCCAAAATATGTCTGCTCGGGACAAAAACACTTTGAGCTTCATCAATACAAAGATGAAGAGATTCCTGTATGCGAAAAACTAGCATTTTGGATATTATTTTATATCACATTGCAGAGACTTATCGGCCGAAATTGTGTCAAAAATCGTGGATTATCCACTTTTGGAATGAGGACAATGTGTGTATGATTAAATAGGCTCATGTCTTGATGTCCTTGGACAAGAGCGATACAAAAATCCGCAGTTTCCTTACCAATAATGAGCCAGAACTTCTGATAAAATAAAGCACCTAACTTGTCCTCTCCCGCCGCCTTCAAGCTATTCATTGATTTTACAGCCTCAGTCACTTCATCATAGCTGAACGGACGAACCAAAGAGTTATTGAGATCTGTCGAAATCATTGTATTAACACCCTCCAAAATTAGATCATCCATCTGCAACTCAGTGGAAGGAAAAAGAGACTAAAAATAATCCCTAGCCAGATATTCCAATCCCATATCTGTATCAATCTGAGACCCATCCTCCGATTCAAGAGCAAGATTTATGTTTCTACGTTTCCTTTGAGTTGCAAAACGGTGAAACAAAAATGTATTATTATCTTCATTTTCAACCAGTTGACTCAAGCTTTCTGCTCTCAATATAACTCCTCCTTGTATGCCTCCATGTTCATTGTAACTTCGTGTCTACAATTTCCCCCAAAAATTCATTTGTTGGTTACTGCTACACAAGATCTACCAATCGACGTTGAAGATTGGATTGTGTTATGTGCTTTACTCGACAAATATCTTTAAACCAACTATCCAAACCATGACTGGTATGAGTGAGCTTATCCATAACCAATCCTTTTGCTTCACCCTAAAGTCGTGCAACCTCATCCTCGTAAGTCTCTTCTAGTAACCAAGTTGCCTCAAACCGAAAGTGCGAATGACGATGAGAAGTAAAAAATGCTTTTGTACTGAGAAGTAATGGGTAATGATCAGACATAGTGTTTTGCAGATGCTGAAGAGAGAAATTCAGAAACAGGATCCTCCAAGTGTCATTTTCCAGGCCCATATGAAGACGCTGATGAATATTATTAGCCGCAATCCTACCCCTCTCCCATGTGTACCAAACTCCATAGTAACCAATGTCCGACAGACCACAATCATCAATTGCATCCTTGAACGTTGACATTTGTCTCTCACCGCAGATTAATCCTCAATCTTTTTCAAACACATACAAAATCTCATTGAAATCTCTAATCACCAGCCACGGAGTACCCGGACTATCATTTAAACTCCGAAGAAGATTCAATGACTCTGACCGACACTGTTCCTCTAGGGCTCCATAGAATCATGTGCATCTTCAATTGAAGCCATCCATCTTATTGGTAATTAGTGCATCAGTATGCAAATTCGATACAAAATGTAAAGAAACTTAACATTGAATACATGAGTAAGGTCCTATGAATACATATGCCCACTAAGCTATGGTACAATACTCTGAAGGAGATGCTAGAAGTCCTACCGCGACAGTACTCTACAAACTACTTAAGCTACTAACCTGCCAACGAAAAAACATCCAAAGGTTGAGCTTACAAAGGCCAGCAGTATAATTGTTAATCTAGAGCAACATAAGAATTTCATAAACTAAAGCACGCTAGAGACATGGTACCAAGCAGTATGTACATGCATGATCCCAATCAGTATTATCTACTTAAGGTTCTCCAGTTCCACCTCTCAAATGTATGTCCCATGCTTCTCTCAATCTCCGCTAAGGGCCTCGCCATGAGTAAACATATACCAGGTCTTTAACCGCAATATCATCTTATAATGTGTCATGATGCCAAACACAATTATGGTACTCGGTATCACAAAGACTCCAGGTACCACTTCACCTCAACAAGTAAGCATCATGGTGTAGATCGGGGTCACATAACATCACGAAAATCATACCCCCTATATGCTTACTATAAAAACTTTATGGGAGATTTGTGTCACACAGCATCAGCATCTCCTTATGATCTTTGGCGAGGTTCGATTCATACAGCATCGGCACCTCCCAAATACCTTAGGCTAGGTTCAGGTCACACAGCATCGGCACCATACCTGGCTAATGTACTCCTCTTGAGTGCATGGGACGTGTCTGCGTCACACAGTATCAGAACGACGTCCAACTAGCGGTCAAAGTGCTCTCGCACTGACTTGTATATATCCGGATGTTCTATGCACACAAGATGATCATCATATTGCTAAAGTAACTCGGGTGTCCTCATTGTTTCTCGAGTGACAAACAAAAGCATAAGTCTTATGGAATCTTACCTTAAAAGGTTATTATGATTATCACACAATTAATATTATTATCTCATTATTAATATAAGTCCTTTCTTTAGAGTTAACGCCTTAACACTCATTAACTGATGCCACTCTAAAGTGATAGAAGTAGCTCGACTACTCGCTACCGAACTTGTTGAAGCCAGGTGATGTCATTTTTCCCTTCATCCGCACTATCTCGCTCGTCCTCTCACCTAGGACGTTATGCGAAGGCTCATTTATTAACTGAGGAATTGGTTAACTCGTTACCTGGCTTGGTTTGTTTTTGAGTAACGGTACTCTATTCGATCTTATCGTACTTCATTCAAAACTCCTTGAACTGAAAAGGACGGCTTACTTTTCCTGGGTTCACTGACATTCATGAAACTCATGCTTACACTACCACATAATCTGACATAGGCATCATACCGCTTATCGGTTGTCTCCCATGTCAACCCTCGGTCCTAACTATTCGTTTTCGTCCTCGTTCAAAGATACTTTGGCGTATTACGCTTAATTTAGTTACTCCCAATGTAACCTACTCTTACGAGTGTCTCTAGGTATACTTGGTCGTTTATGTCCCTCACGGACTAAGTCTTGCTATTACGAATCGTTCTTAACTCTTACGGACCTTAAATGGGTCAAATATGACCATCCAAAATGAGCAGTATCGATAATATACTTGTAGTATTGATACCCTAGGATCAAATATCGATATCCCTATGAGTATCGGTACCAAAAATGTATTCTATTTCAAATTTGGGGCCTCAATATCGATACTATAACCCTGAAGTATTGATATTCCCCTTGGCAGTATCGATACTCCAGCCCAAAATCCTAATTTTTCCCCTAATTTAATCAATACCGATACTGTTCATACTAGTATCGATACTTGGACCCTCAAAGGCTTATTTTAGGTTGAAAAACACTTGAAAGTCATCCTAAAGTCTATAGTTTTATTCTAAATCGTGTACCAATGTTATAGGTAGTTATCTATGGTCTTAAGGTGTCATAAAACACATATTAAACATCAAATTTGTGATTCATGGCATGAATAAAAAATGAAACCCTAAATGCTTAATTACACAAATCTTAGCAATTTCTTGTGATTTATGAAATTTTAATACTCCAAAAGATAATAAATATACTACTTTGAATTTAGAGAGCCGAAATGAAGCTCCTTTAGCTAGCAAACACTTCCCTCTATCCTTGGATGATAAAAAAAGCCCTTCATTTTTCTTACAAAGACAAAACTCAAAGTTTGATTCTTAAAAATGATGTTATTAGGAGGCCTTTAGGACGAAAATGAAATAAGTAGGAAAAGAAACCCACGACTAAAACACTTAAAACCCCCCAAAAATCAACTTCCAAATTCCTCAATGGTAAAATCACACTTTTGGTCCTTCATATTTTGTCTTTTAATTAAAAAAACTCTTTTTTATGACTAATTAGGCCCTAAAACTAATCCAATTAGGCCCAACAACTTAAGTCATAAAATCTATGAGATCCACTTACCTCTCAGATAAGCCCAAAACTATTAGTCCAAAATTTAGGGTGTTACTGAGACACCAGACTTGCCGATAAATTCACATTAGGATCTGATCATTCACTTCTCTACCTTTTCTTATTCTCCCTTTCTCCATCGGATTATTCTCCTCAGCTTGAGTCATCACCACATCCAGACCTCCCTTAGAAGATTCAGTTATTGCAGTCCAAGCCTTCAAATTTCCAAACTTCGAAGAGGAAGTCGCCTTATGAATAGGACTACCCTCTTTCGACAACGAGGAGCCACCCTTCTACCTCAATTTCATCATTTAACCAAGGACTTGTTCCCAACCCATTCCACCTCGGGGGTTTTCTTAGAGAGACATCACATTGAAATACCAGCTCTTTTTTTCCCGAATGACACGCAAAGGGCAAAAACCCTCACCATGGCCCAGCTTACCATACAGGAAGCAAAATAGCCGAAGTTTCTTGTACTGGAAATTTGTGTATGTGGATTGATCATTCGATACTGTAATATTTTTTTCCTTTTCAAAGGTTTTCACATGTCCAGTCCTACTCGAATGCGAAGAGTACCTCTATATCCAAGAGTCTCAATTGAAACATCATAATCAAGAACCCCCCAAGAAATTCCTCAGTTGGGTTGCAACTTACCTAGAGATAAAACTCACTGGCATATCATCAGTGACAACCCAGAAATCGATTCGATTTAATTATACCAGCACTGGGTCCTCACCCCCTTTTAAGCGATGAGAAATCAGTAAATGAGCACTAAAATACCAAGGGCCATCTGCTTCGATTCTATCCGCATCAACTTCATGGAAGAGACAAAACAAAAACCTTCATTCCTCTAATTCAATAATCGATATGCCCCAAATCGGGTGCCAAACATTGGCAAGAGTTATTCACATTGCTACCCATACAGAACCGACCCACAAAACAATTCTCAAACAAGAACGGGACCACATCATTTGATTATTTCAAAACCAGCGATTCCCCCCCCCCAAATTAAGCCCTTCCAACTCTTGCTCCAATTCGCCCATGACAAAAACAGCAAACACGACCAGCAAATAATCAATGCCAAATACTAGCAAAACTAGAGACTGAGAAATACTCAGAGACGTGCCAAAAGGCCGAGTGATGGCTGCCAAAAGCAGAGAGAAGCCCTAGCTCAGAGAGTTAATTCATTAGTTTAAGAAATATCGATTTGAACATGAAGTAGCAATTAGAGTATAAATTATTACGTCAACATAAATTGAGATCTGATAATGATAACACCGAAAATAAATGAAAGATTATTTCAATGGATGATAAAGTAATATATGATTAGGGTAAATTATGTGTTTAGTACTTAAACTAGCAGTTGTAGTCTGTTTTAGTACTTAAACTTTTAATTTTTTCAAAATCATACCTAAAATTTAGTTTTTGTTTCATTTTAATACATGTCGGTAAAAACTCCAGTTTTTGTTTCATTTTAGTATCTCTATTCAAAATTTAACGTTAAGTTTTGACAAACATTAAAAGTTTACGTACTTAAACATACTAAAATTTATAGTTTAAGTATTAAACACGTTAAGTTTTTAACGACGTGATAGTAAAATGAAATGAAAATTAAACGTTAGGTATGATTTTTAAAAAATTGAAAGATTATGTACTATAATGGACTAAAACTGATAGACTACGTACTAAATGCATAATTTACCCTATATTATTATGATATTGATTATTTTTCAAGCCAAACTTTCCTTAATTTTACCTTTGATTAATTTTCCTCGTCCCTAATGTTATTGGCCGGACAAATTGAATCTTCATAAGCTAAACAAGTAATACACTAGTTGACATAAAATAACAAAAAAAAAAGTAATAAAATAAAACCCTCACAATCATATATAAACTGCTTTGGCCAGCATCTCGGAAATATTTTCCCCCGTTTTATCGCTCCTGGATGGAACTCTGGCCCGACTTTCAGGGAAGTTTCTTCTTCTTCTTCTTCTTTTGTTTCCGATTTCTGTGTATTCAAGCTTTTTGGAGATAATTTATTAGCTGCTGTTTTTCTTTTTTTCCTTTTTTTGTGTCAGTTAGGTGAATATTGATGTTAGGTAAATTTTATTGGGTGATATTTAAGGTGGGGTTTCAAATTTTTATTGGGATTTTAAGTTATATTCTTGAGATTTGTTCTTATTGATAGAAATATGTTTAATTGTTAGTTTGATGAGCTGGGTATTTTGGGATTTTGTGACTGGTTTGTTTGGTTGCTGGAAATGTCTTGAGAGTGAATGATAATAGTTGGGCTTTTTTAGGTTTATTGAGCGTTTGAATCACAGATAGGAGGAAGTAATAGTATTGAGTGTTTGAATGATTTGATTACTTGAAAGAAATAATGGAAGGCAACTTATCACAAGGAGGGATGGTTCCTGTTGGTGGTTCTCACGGAGGCCTTGACTTACAAGGATCCATGAGAGTTCATAATCATGGAAAAAATCCTCATGATATGCCTCAACATCACCACCCTAACTCTCGCCAAGGTGCAGCTTCGGTCCATTCTATTAATGAGGATTTTGCACTCAAAATGGGGAGCATGCAAAACTGTGACCAAATCATTTCGATGACGGATTACAAGGGGGACAGAGGGAAAAGTTCGGTGAGTGATGAGGATGAACCGAGCTATACAGAAGAGGGTGTTGATGGTCAATATGATGGAACTAAAGGTAAGATGGGATCGCCGTGGCAGCGTGTGAAGTGGACTGATAAAATGGTGAGGCTTTTAATCACAGCAGTGTCTTATATAGGAGAGGATGCAGCAGGGGGATGCGGTGGTGGGATGAGGAGGAAGTTTGCGGTTATGCAAAAGAAGGGTAAGTGGAAATCGGTGTCAAAAGTCATGGCGGAGAGGGGTTATCACGTTTCTCCTCAGCAGTGCGAGGATAAGTTCAATGATCTGAATAAGAGGTATAAGAAGCTGAATGATATGCTTGGTAGGGGAACTTCTTGTCAGGTTGTTGAGAACCCAACACTTTTGGATGTTATAGATTACTTAACAGAGAAAGAAAAGGATGATGTGAGGAAAATTTTAAGCTCAAAGCATCTTTTCTATGAAGAAATGTGTTCTTATCATAATGGGAACAGATTGCATCTGCCTCATGATCCACAATTGCAACGTTCCTTGCAAATGGCTTTTAGAAGTAGAGATGATCACGAGAACGATGGTGCAAGGAGAGATCATCAGCATGATAATGTTGATGAAGATGATGACGATGATGATGATATGGAAACTGATGACCATGATGAATTTGAGGAGAATCGAGCTTCACATTGGGATGATAGGGGAATATATGGGTTATTAAGGACGGCCTCTGCAAAGAGGTCGAGACAAGGCCATGTTCATGAAGGTGCTTGTTTGCAGAATCCTTTGAACTCTCAGGATTGCAACAAAAGTACTTTTACTTATCCACCAATCACCCAAGCTGATATAAATCAAGTACCACCCGAAAACTCAGGAGCTACTTGGATACAGAAACAGTGGATTGAGTCTCGTTCACTTCAGCTAGAAGAACAGAAACTACAAATTCAAGTTGAGATGCTGGAATTGGAGAAACAGCATTTCAAGTGGCAGAGATTTAGTAGGAAGAGGGATCGTGAACTTGAAAAGATGAGAATGGAAAACGAGAGGATGAAGCTTGTGAATGAGCGAATGGCATTGGAATTGAAGCGTAAGGAACTTGATGCTGATTAAAGCCGCTTGACTTTTATCTCAAACTTCTTCTTCTTCTTTTACAGTGGCAGGCCTGGATGCAAAATTAGTTTGTTGTTGGTAAGCTGCTACTGTTCTTATTCTGAAGTATTGCACATAGAATTGGCAGACTATGTTGAAAATGATGATACTGCCTGCTTTTATTGTGTAAGCATATGCAGTAACGATTGCATTTTGTACTTCTTGTTTTTATGCCCCTTGTGAGATGGTATTATTTATGCTAGAAGGGATTTGTCGTTTGTGAAAAGGATCTCTTTTGTTTATGCTTCATTGTATAAAATTGTTAGTTGGGTTATTTATAACAACAACAACAATAATAATAAGGTTAGTTCACGGTGCACAGGGCTCTGACTATATACAAGGTGTGGGGAAGGTGTTTTTCCTCTGTTTTGCATGGAGTTCCAGGGGATTTAATAGAATGCTTTCTTTTTTTATAATCATAATTCTGCTGAGTTGTGTGCTTTTGTTCATATATTGTTCCAACTCTCTATCAAACTCTTAAGGCTCAATGTTTGTTTATGCTGTTTACTTTTAACATGATTTTTTTTTTTGTCTTCCTACTTATAAGTGTGGGTGGACCTTAGTCCATACTAGTGACTTTTGTTACTTGGCACTTGGCAGGGGTTTGTTCAACTTATTTCTGGACTTTTATGTATTTGGATCCTTGTAAGATCATATCTTTATATTTTTATTTGGATGTGTCTCGGATATGAGTATCAAGCATGGATACTTCAAGAAAAATGGATGAAAGTCGATATAGCATAAATTATCATCTATATATACTGAATAATCCAGTCATAAATTATTATTATAATTATTAAATAGCAAAAGAGAAAAGAAAAATAGGAGAAGGTAACTCAAACCCCAACAATTACCTGGCTCTAGCTAACTCATGAAGCTCTTTAATGGACCTTCGAAATTCAATAACACACACACACTATAACTACTCGATGATGTAGTAAAAAAGTCATTTAGCGGCTGCTCTAGCGTTTTGTTCCTTTTTTAGTTCGACCTTGATCTTTTTCTGACACATTTGTGCCACCGCTGTCACCAACATCATCACCTCCTTCCCTACTTCGTACATATATACCTACATGCATGGAGTAGATATATAGCTTTATACGCTTTGTGATGAGTGAAGGCTTTTGAGGAACTGCCACTAGCTCGAAAATATCGCAGAATATTCTAGCTAAGTTGATCTATGAGTTTCGTCAATCCCATTGCATGTATCTTATTTGCAAGTTACAAAACTAGAATGCTACTTTGTTTGAAGCCTTTCTTAGAACTGTAGTAAAGTCACCCCCCCACCTAAATGCAAAATGTATTGCGTTGGTATATTGCTTGGTTAGATCTGTTTTCTTTGTAATCATTGTGCTTAGGTTCTTAAATAGTTGCCTTAGGTTTCATATAGATCCTATCCGATTTTGCCCAATGATGAAAACTCAAAGTTGATTTAATCGTTCTGGTTTTCAATTTATCTCTAGCTTTCACACACTGCCTGCTTCTCTCTCTCTCTCTCTCTCTCTCTCTCTCTCTCTCTCTCTTCCCGTGTACACATGTATATTGTGTATGTATGTGTGTGTGTATCTTCATTTATTTATTTTATTTAATTATTACTGGTGGTGTGTTAAAAGTTATTGGTGAAGGCTTTTACTGGAACGATTCATGATTTTGGCATGGCTATGAGATCTGAGGGCTCTTTCTAATTGAAGTTTTGGGGTTGTCGATGTTGTCTTCAGGCCTATTTAGTCAAAAGATCAGGGTGAATGCTGTTTAGATGCAAGACCTATATGACTGTTTTTCCATGTGGTCTTAAAACTTAAAAAGATATTCTTTTACCAGGCAATATTTGGAATTAGTTTCCTCATATCCCTCTTCCCTGCTCGATATGGATGCTTACCATAGGGTGATTGCCATGGCATCAATGTTGGCGTCCATCCTTTATACTGCTAGTCATCATTGGTTTATATATATTCTTATTTTCCTTCCCTCATTTTTGTTACTGTTATTGATTATTTATATATATATATATAATTCATGATCGTATGACTAATTATGGCACTGCTAGTAGTGTGGAAAGGTTTTCAATGAAATCCCATTATGTCACCATTAATGAGTTTTTTAGAACTATTTGAGTTCCATGGTCTGACCTACAAGGGCATTGCAGGCTCTGTCTCCATATGTTCTACTTAGAGATCCATTGTTTTTTTTGTTGATTGCCGATTTTTCCGACTGTATGTGTTCAAGTATACTGCTTTAATTTTAGATACTAAAATCACCAAGGATCTGTTTGAAAATCTATCTAGAAGCGTCAGCCTGGTTGAGGGCTGCATTGTGCTTATTTGTTGGACCTGAATTCGTGTCATGGTCTACGTGTTTTTTATATATAACTTCTGCTCCAAGCAGTGCTTCAGGATAATTGGTAATTGGAATGGTGTTTGATTCACGTTCATAACTGTTGCAGATGTTGATCTGGTGAACGATTACTTTTGAAGATTTGGGTTTTTTATATTTCACCGTTATGTTCAAAAATACTCTTTTTTTTTTTTGGGGGGGGGGGGGCAAATTCATTTGGCCTCGATTCTTTTTTGGCCCAATGATTGGTAACTCATTGAAATGGAGTAATTTCTGAATTTCGTTTTGGACCTTTGCAATCTGCAGTAGCATCAACACTCGCATCTTCTTCTTCTTCTTCCTTTGGTCATTTATGTTTCATTTGCAGAACAGCTTTTTCTCTTTCTCTCTCTTTCTTCGCATCGACATCTCTGCTGGTATGGTGAAGGCTTGAAACGAAAACCAGTAAATTAATTGCAAATGACAGATCATAGCTATGAGATCTGAGGGCTTCTCATGATTCGTAATCCATCTTTATCATGCTATGAACATTGCTTCCCTTGCATATGATATTCGTCTAAACATGGCCCAAGTTTTTCCAACATTAAAATGCATGGTCTTGTGTTGTTAGGTAGGTCAAATCATTGATGCCTCTCTTAGAAGAACTATGATAAAGCTGTCTTCTTTAAATGCAAAATGTATTTTCTTGGAGACACTTATATTAAACTTTGATCATCTCATTTTTGGTGCGCTTCATCTGTCTATTTGCACTTTCTGATGAGAAGTTGTTACCTGTGATAGTTCTTTTGCTTAGCTATGAGATCTGAGGGCCCTTTCTGATTGCACTTTTAGAGTTGTCGAAGTCTGCTGTTGTCTTCATGCGTAGTTAGTCGAAAATGCAGAGTGAATGGCATTTAGATGTAAGACATGTACAAGACTAGATCTTTGGTATTTGTTTGCTCCTATCCATCTGCCCTGCTTGATGATGGATACTTTTGGCGGAGAGGCTGCTATGACATCAATGTTAGCCCGTCCTGTTTGCCATGATTGGTTTCAGCCATTCTTGGTCTCCTTCCTTTTTCTTTGTTATTATTGTTATTGCTGTTGATAAAATTCATGGTCTCATGACTAAATGATGCCACGGTTAGGAGTGGATGTCAAAAAGTTTGCAATGATATACCTTAGCGTCACCATTGATGAACTGTCGAGTTGTGAGGTCTGTCCTCCAAGGGCAGTGCAGGTTCTTTCACCATATGGTCTATATTTATAATCCAGTGTGAGTTTTGATCACAGGTACCAGTCTGAGATTAGACAGGACCACATCCTGGTATTCATAACCGGGTGCGACAAACACGAACGCCAGATAACTACATTACAAGTAAATGTAAAGCACGGAATTGTTAATTGTCTGCAAACAAGGGCTTGTCGATGTTCTGGTTTGCTTTGCAGTGTGTTTTTCTTCCAATCCTTGATGCTTCATGTTTCACTTTTGCTGCTATTCAGTCCATAGATTTCAACTGTAGTACACTCTCTAATGTAATGCATGCTTAGTAAACTTCACATGTGGTCGATGATTTGAAAATCGGATTATAAAAGTTAGGATTCGCACTTCGGATGTAAAGATCTGGATTAAAACCCAAATAAGGGTCTGTTTATTTCACGAAAATAATATTTCAGAAAATGATTTATGTAAAATGAATTATATTTCTTAAAAATAAGTTTTGAAAATCATTTTTATGGTGTTTGGATGATGTTATGTAAATTATTTCACTTATTGATAATTTTTTTTTTTTAAATATCGAATACAATAAATTATTTTTTATTAAACTAAGTTGATTATGAAGGTATTAGTAATACTTGTTCTAAATTTTCTCAATTATTTGATAATGAACATAAGTTGGTTATCATATATTAAAATTAATTTTATTAATAGTTTATTATATATTATTAAAATAAAAATTATTATGATACAATTTAATATATTATTATAACATTAAAAGGTATTATATTATATTATTAAAATTATTAATAAATATATTTAATGATTGATACTTTTATTAAAATGATATTAAAATATATATTAATATTAAATTTTTATTTTAAAATGAAAAAGTTTGAAAAATGATATACAGCAAAATAAATTGTAAGCTATTTTTTAGGAAATACAAAAGAAATTCTTTTGACCAGGAAAATAAATTATATTGACATCATTTTTTCACTAACCAAACACTGTAAAATGAAGAAAATATTTTTCAGAAAACTAATTGCAATGAAATGAATAGACCCTAAATTTAAAAATATATATAAAAAGTCCCAAAATTATGTAATTCACATTGGGTTTAGATACTCACGTAGAATTTTACATAAATTTAAAATGGTTTAAATTTATTTTTTTTAAGTTAATATTTTTTATTTTTTATTATTAATCTTAAGCACCTATTATCATTCAATGAACTTAAATTTATATAATTTATTTTTAAAAAATTACACTATTCATTCACGTTACCTCATTGTCCTATTACTCAATATTTTATTCTCAAAACAGTGAAATCTACTAGTATGGTTTCGTTTGTAAAATAGCTACAAGAGACGTGTGGGAAAACCCAGAGCAGTCCATTTTCACTTTTTTTTAATAATATAAGATTAAAATAATTAATGCTGTTAGCTCTGGGGACAAACAACTTGTGGCTGCCGTCTCAATAAAAGAGCTTCACACTCTTTCAAATTCTCTTCAACTGGTGACTATTGATATATTAAACAATAAGGGTAAAGTGTACAAATAGTCTCTTAACTTTTAGAGTGCTTGTATTTTGGTCACCTGACTTTTGAAAATTATAATATAATCATTAAACTTTTAATTCGATTTCATTTTAATCACTGTTGTTTATTTCGTTAGTTTTTACTGACATGATACTTAACTTTGTTGACTACTTTCTGACATGGCAGCTTCTTCTTATTCTCACGCATTCTCTCAATGGAATTTGTTTTCTCTTGTTATTTGCGTTTTCTATTTTCTTCGGTTTTTGGCTATGGCGTTGAAGAAAACCTTGGTGGGGAAGCTTTTCAATATTTCGAAAACTTCTTCACGAGCTATTACATATGTCTGCGAATATTGTAGACAGAGAAAGAATATGTAGATGCCTTCAAAAAATTCAAAGCTCTAGCCCTTGCTATCTGCTTTTCAATAATGCATTAGATTTGGCCTTTGAAACTAAAAACCTTGTCGCAAATATTCCAGGGATTTCAATGCTTGGCGCACCCGAATTTTCTAACCAACAATCACAGGGATTTCATTAGACTGGCATAGTTTTAAAATGTCAGCCAAGTTGCTACATATACCATGGTAAGTTGGCGAGGAGATGAGAACTGCAGTTACTTTTTTACCTTCCATATGCAACTCCTGGATTGCTTTCTCTCTCTGTAAAAATATCTACCCTTAAGTTTTCTCAACCATTTCAAAGGCATTAAGTAGAACGCTAGCTACTACACAACTTTGAATATTTTGGAGACTAACCTGTGATAAAGTAACACCACCAGTAATATCCCAATGGCAATCATACTCTGGATAATATATCTGGGTACGACACCGGATAATACCATGGCTGATATATGAGAGTTACGAGGTAGAATTAAATATTCTCCTGGGAGAGCCTCTTGCTAGTATTGCTGCTTGGATTCCACAGGTGGTACCTCCAATAAGAAACCATGTCTCAGATGATCCAAACAGTTCGACTACTTGCTTTTGTGCCTCTAAAATTGGGCCCTCTGGAGAAAATAGGTTGTCAAGTTCCAGAAGCTCAGGCAAATCGTGAATGAAAGGCTTCAAACCAATGAATTGAACTAAGGATGATGGTGTAGCCCTACCCCTGTTATGTTAGTTCAGATGTGGGAAGAAGAGGAAGAAAGAAGAAGCCACATCAGAAAGTTAACGGGATTAAGTGTCACGGCAATAAAAATTAACAGGAGTTAATTGTAAGGACCAAAATAAAAATGAATTAAAAGTTCGATAACTGTATTATAAATTTAAAAGTTAGATAACCAAAATGCAAGCGCCCTAAAAATTCGATGACTATTTATATATTTTACCCTAAAAATAATTAGTTATTTTTTAAATTATTCTTAACATTTTATACATTCTTAAATTAACATAAAGTTTATATATATATATATATATATATATATATATATATATATATATATGATTGCATTCAAATATATACTTTTTAAAATATTGTAGATTATATTGATGATCATTTAATTATAATATAGTATAACTAGTTTATTCAATTGAATGAGGCACTAAATCTTTTAAGTAAGATCAAAAGTTCAAATAATTACATTTGCGAATTAAATAAATTAAGTTGAGAATCTATTGATTAACTAATTCGGATCGTGCACAACAAAGGTAAGGGCGGCCCGGTCTACTAATTCAATTTACTTCATTTGTAATCGTCAGGATTTGAATCTCTGACTTTACCTAAAGAATTTAGTGTCTCATCCAACTAAACAAATTGATTGTTGGTTGTCTTTGTAATGATTTTAATATAATTACATATTTAATTTTTATTATTTATATATTTTATCAATTTATTCTTAATTTAATTTAAAATTTTAATTATTTAATCAAATAGTTATATCTATCACGTTCTAAACCTTGATGCTTGGAGGGAAAGGTGAAGTGCTCTAACCACTAGGCGAAAATGCCACTTTTGGCATTGGGAAATAATTCTAAGGGTAAACTATATTAAATACCATCAAAGTTTAGGCATTATATCATTTATACCACTAAACTTCCAGTTTTACCAATTATAACACTAAACTTTGCTTTCCATTTCAATTATATCACTCAATCGTTAAGTCTTTAACGGCATGAGGACGTGGTTAACGCCGTCGACATAGACACCTCACCAAAATAATATCGTTTCGATCCAGTTGTTAACGATTTAACGGTCCAGTGGTACAATTGAAATAAAAATCAAAGTTCTATGCTATAATTAAAAAATAAAATTAAAAATTCAATGGTAAAAGCGATACACCGCCTAAAGCTCGGTAGTATCTAGTGTAGTTTACCCTAAACCTAATAATGTATTAATTAAGAAAGATAGAAATTTTTGAGATTTTTAAATTTGAAAACAAAAAGCAAGTGGGGACATTGGCATTGGGAAATTTGGCATGCTTATCTCATCTTTCTTGGAGATGAAAATACAGGCAGGTCTTTGACTTCTAAGCCTGCGATTTGAGTTTTTTTTTTTAAATCTGTTTTCCATTTATCAATTATTTTGTGCTTTTCAAAAAATCTCATTGATTTATGCATAATCTTTTTTGGATTTTATCTCAAAAAAATATTAAAGAGTATTCTTTTAAGATATTAAGGGTGCGTTTGGTTCACTGAATGTAAAATTACCAGTGAGAATAAGATTATTAGGAATATTGTATTTTGTGTTTGGTTGGTTTAGCAGGAATGTAAGATTATCATATTTGGTTAAAAGAATAAAAGATTATTGGAATGTATATTTGACTAAATTGTCTTTATTATATATTTGTTTTTTTAACAAGTTAGGAAAATATTTGTATATTTTCTTTAAAAAATTTAAATTCATAAAATTTATATAATTTTTTTACAAAATTAAAAATATAAAAAAGGTTTAATGAAAGGATAATTTTTTTTTAACCATTGAACTTCATATAAAATTTTAATTATAAACTTTTTTTTAAATCTAAAATAGTTTAAGAATAAATTTGTAATTTAATCTTCGTATAATTTTTATTATTCAATGACAGAAAATGATATTTTTTAAAGAAAATTTTTTTAAGGACATTTTAGTCCAAAACGCCGGTAATCCAACAATACCTAAGAAAATAGAGGTAATGACATTCTCGGTAATATACCCCAAAAAATTCATTATTGGTAATCTTACATTACCGGGAATGGGATTCTCGGGCTAACCAAATGGGAGAATGTGGATTTCATTCCCATGGGAATCCTACATTCCCCAATCCAAACACGCTATAAGGATTTTTTTAGGGGAAACGTAAAATTTTATACTTTTACTATTTATTTAATTAAATTTTATGTTAATTTTAATGAAAATTATTTTAGAATGATATAATTAAATTTAAAGTATCTAATAAATATATAATCAAATAAAATACGAGAGAACAATACGAGTAAATTCACTAATTTCATAATTATTCGTATAAACCTTTTTTTAAGCAATTTTGCAACTCAGAGTTGATTTCAAACAATAAAAATATCGATTTTAATTTGAAATTTAATTTTTAGTTTTTAATCAAATCTAACTAATAAAAGAAATATTTTTGAATAGAATAATAAACTAATAAAAGAAATATTTTTGAATAGAATAATAAGGTATTTTTGGAAACGTCGAACTCAACCTGGAAAGGGGGATAATTTGGTAATTTGGGTGGGGGAAGAATAAGACACGTCAGCATCTAAATGTTTCTAGAAGAAGGGAACCGAGTTCAGTTGCTGGTCGTCAGAGCGGGACCAATTCCCTCTTCCCTCGGCATCCGCGCTCCAACTAAGACCCATGACCTCGTCCTTATCCCACGTGGCACAAAGTTAACCTCTTATCAAATCTAGTCCGAGTCGTAAATGAGTTCTTAATAAGTTAAAGCTAGTTAATTAACGAGTTAAAGTGAATTATTTAATATTTAATTTGAAAAGTTCACGAGTAATTTGAATTTATTTAAGTTTTAAAATGTTTTGAGTTGAAATTTTTTAAATTTGAGTCGAATTTTAATTTTTTATTTTAAATTAAATTTAAAAAAGTTTAAGTTCGCGAACTTTCGAATCGAGTTTAACTTAAATTTTAAATTTTGAAGTTAAGTCAAACTTAGAAAATAATACTCAATTTTAATTTTTTTTCAAGTAAAGTCGAGCTCGATAATATTTAAATTTGATTTATTTTTATAATTATAATATATTTGTTTTATTGATAAATTAACAATTACTATTATTGATTAAAAAATATTGAATTATGGTTTCAAATTGTTATTTTTAACATTTATTTAATTATATCTTTATCTGAAAAAACATAATAAATCTCGTTATTTAATATACTTATTAGAATGATAAGATTTAATATAAAAATAAATATCTAAATTATACTTAAAATTAACTTTTGGTGCCTAAAAGTTTTTTCGTTAAAAATAAGTGTTTAAAGTTTTATCCGATACATTTTTGGTGTCTACCGTTAAAAAATCGTTAAGTGACACATGTCACGTCTAAATTTTTTTAAAATATTTTGTTTTAAAAAAAATTATTTTTAAAAATATATAAATGTAACACGTGTCACTTAATAAATTTTTAACGGTCAACACCTAAAAATATATTAGAAAAAACTCTAGACATTTATATTTAATGAAAAATTCTTTAAATACTAAAATATTTTTTGAAATATTCTTTAAATATTTATTTTTATATTAAACCGAATAATAATAATAATAATAATTCACCTCGGTTTAAGACCGGACCGTTTCTTTATTCCCGAGTTTTAGAACAAGGTCCAATGCCCAATAAAAATGTCATCTTTAATCGTTAGGGTTTCTCCATCTTCACTTCTCCCATTTCTCTGTCCTAAACGATTCCATCCAATCGATTTCTTTTCATTTATTCTTTCGATGTGATAATGCCCTCGACGGATTATCAAGGAAGTTCGTCACCGTTGACAAATCTCGGCCGTTCATTCTTACCCCTGAGGAGAGACCAAGTTCACTCGATGGAATCTCCGATCGGTGGATCTCCGTCGAACGAGGCGGAGCTTGAGTCGTTCCAGAGGCAAGTAGCCGACCGATTCCACGATTTGGCCTCCGTTCCTTCCGATGAGTTGCTCTCTCTGCCGTGGGTTCGGAAATTGATCGACGCTTTCCTCTGTTGTCAAGAGGAATTTCGGGTCATACTGTTTAACAACAGAACTCCGGTGAAGAAGCCTCCCATGGACCGTTTGATCGCCGATTATAACGAGCGTGCCGTGAAGGCGCTCGATGTTTGTAACGCTATTCGCGATGGGATCGAACAGATCAGGCAATGGCAGAAGCTTATAGAAATCGTGCTTTGTGCTTTGGGTGGTGATAATAATAGTTATCAGAGAAGTCTAGGTGAAGGGCAATTCCGTCGAGCGAGGAAGGCATTGGTGGATTTAGCGATTGCGATGCTCGACGAGAAGGATTCCGGTCAAGCCCTGGCTCATCGGAACCGTTCATTTGGGAGACACAACAATAGCAGCAGTCACTCGAAGGATCATCACCATCGATCCTTGGGTCATTTCAGGTCATTGTCTTGGAGCGTTTCCAGGTCGTGGTCCGCCGCCAGGCAGCTCCAGGCGATCGGGAACAACTTGGCCGTGCCGCGAGGGAACGAGGTTTTGGCCACCAATGGACTTGCAATGCCCGTTTACACAATGGGTAGTGTTTTGTTGTTTGTAATGTGGGCATTGGTGGCTGCAATTCCATGTCAAGATCGTGGCTTGCAAGTTCATTTCAATTTCCCCAGGCAGTTCCCGTGGGCGGCTCCGATTATTTCGTTGCACGAGAGGATATTGGAGGAGTCCAAGAAGAGGGATAGGAAAAATGCTTGTGGACTGTTGAGAGAAATTTATCAAATGGAGAAGTGTTCTCGGTTGTTGGGCGAACTCGCCGATTCCGTGCAGTTCCCTTTGAATGAGGAAAAGGAAAAGGAAGTTAAGCAGAGAGTTAATGAATTGAAGCAGGTTTCGGATGCCATGAAAGAAGATTTAGAACCCTTGGAAAAGCAGGTTAGGGAAGTGTTTCATAGGATTGTCCGAAACCGAACCGAAGGGCTTGATTCTTTATGAAGTGGAAGATGGAAAAGAAACGAAGAAGGATTCGAGTCACTCGCGACAAAAATTTAAAAGGGTAAGAATGAAAACCAAAAAAGAACAGAGATTTGCTTGTACTTATCACTATATATCAGTGTAATCAGTGTAAAGAAAGCAGGACATTTAGTTGGATCTTTTTGGTCCTGATGCTGTGCTCATCTTTGTGTTGTTATATTATAATCAAATGTCGTAAATCTACAGTCTTGGTGTTATGTAGTTTGATTTTATGTTGAGAATTTTGCTTACTTGTTAATGCTATATACTTTTCTTTCTGCTGCTTTATTCGTATTTTTGCCTCTTAATGCAACAATAAGATGGGAGTGGAAGAGTTCTGTTCTGGGATTTGATTCATTTTATGATATGTTCACAGCTTGCTCGTATCCTGATTCGAATAGACATATGCTTCTCTAACACTTGCACCCTGATTCGAATAAACACATGCTCATCTATCACTGGTACCCCGATTCGAATATGAGCTTCTTATTTTCTTGTTTTTGGTTTTTGTCTGGCAACTTAGATGACCTTATTTATGTGCACTTTCAAGAACAAGAACAAGAACAATAGAACATCTATGGTTTGTCAAGTCGGCTATTTTTAACCATTAAATTCGCTATGTGAAAATGACAGGGAATGAAGTTACATCATACAAAAGCTGAAAAAGATTTATTAAACAGCAATTTCTCATTGTATTAATCAGTTACACCATTTACTCCTGCAGTCTGCATATTTATCACACTTATATAAACATCTCGATCTGGGGGTAATCCTGTTTAATGAAAGCTTATGTGATACTCTGTTTATTATCTCTGCATTAAATGGAATTCACACATTAGGCTTTCCAGCTGATGGTCATCTGTGTATCTTTTGCCTACTTGAAACTTACGCTTTGCTATGACAGCTCAATAGCATGCATGTTCAAGCTGGATTCTTGGATTGGGTTTTGGAAGAAAAATTATAATTTTTTTATATCCGAATCGAGTTTTCGTGTTAACTAACATACGTAGCCGGTCTGGTTTCGATTTATGTTATTCCGACTTTTCATTTTTCGGACAATCGTGCCTAATACATATTCATACCCTACATCAAAGCCATGGCTCTGGATGATTTCTTTGGGTTTAGGTAGCTTTCATACACAGCTGGAGAATCATAAATTTGTGAAGGAGATGTGTGCCTAAACAACAAGGGTCACATTACTTGTCCGCAAACTCGGGGGTATTTTCTAAACCTATCTGATTAGATAAAGGATTCTGACAAATGGGTTTGGATTATTAAGGCAAAAGCTGCATGTGATTAATCGTTTCAATGGTGAAAATAGTCCACTCAGTTTTCATTCATCGTTATTGGCTAATAATTCAGTGTTGACAAGACGGTGGTCTCAGCTTTGCCCCCACTTTTGTTTCCACATTGAATGCATCATGCTTGCTTCATATTTTTTTATCATTACCGCTTCCTTAACCATCAACTTAACAAGGATAGATTCAAATCTTAAATTTATCGGATATACTTTTACTAGTGTTAATGAGAGAAATGGAGTCGTTGTGATGGTTTTGAACGGTTTACTTGTGATTTGGACGAAAAAATACATAGGTGTTTCAATAGGTTAAGAGAGAGAATGAATAGTAGAGATCTTTAGAGGGAGAGAAAAAGAGTTTGAGTACGAGAGAGTTAAAAGTCTTCAACAGCCTTGCATGATGGTTTATATATCGACTTTTAATGTCGGTTTCAGACCTAGAGTGATGATTACTATTAGTATGTCAGTGAGATAATAGATCTGATTGTCCGGTAGATCAAATGGGTCTGATCATGTCAAGAGAATGAAGTTGATATCATGTCAATAGATTATAATTAATCCAAGGATATGAAATTCCACATGTTTCAATAGACGGAGGAATGACAACGAAGATGTGACATACAAAAAATATGTAACAAAACGTAAATGAATAGATAGATCGAAACGAATTATGTGATGGGTTCAAATCGTTCATATCATCTAGAAGATGGATAATAACAAGATTAGGACAATCTACATTTTTGTTAATTAATGTTCGATGTGTTCTTAACTTTATTTCTCTCTAAAATATGTGTGAAACGGAAACATGCATGTTTCAATGTATGTTCACGACGTGGGCTCATTGATGGCTTGAGTTGTTTTTCTTCATTAATCCATTCCATAATCTATGGAACAGCTCTGAATCATTGAGTACTTACAGGTCCAAAGATCTACCAGACAGATTGTCTTTGAAATATCTTCTGTATTGTTTTCCTGACTTCAGTGAATCCAATTTCATATTGTCAAACCAGTCTAATTAAAATTTTCGAATTTCCAAAAAAACAAAACTCTAAACCTTAAATATTAATACTATTTTTAGCCTCTAATCACTCAAATTATTCCAATTCTACCGCACATTATATGATTTTATCAAATTTACAACAAATTTAGGCAACCATTTTCTTTTTTCTCTTCACAATGTAAAGAAAGCCATGGAAAAGATAGCCATTGGAACTTGTTAGGATCCCCACCACTGCCTGCAATGCAACCAACTTGGTGAAGAATAATGTATTTATTCGACGAGTGACCAAAATATAATAATTTATAACATAAATTACCAAAATATAATAAACTGACAATATAAGTGATCAAAATATACCTAAAAAAAATCAAATTGATCAATCAAAATTCTTTTCCAGTCAGTTTAATTAATCAATCCAATTTTTTTATTTAATGGAAATGAAAAGCAAATTAAATTACTTCAAATTTGGTCAAGGAGCAATTTTTTGTGTACCTTTTGTTTGGAATCCATGAAAACTATAGCAAGCTTGCGTTTGAAGACCAGAAAGTGCATTGTTGGAGTCAAATTTAACTTTAGTTCATTTCATATTTGTCTTTTTAAGGGTTAATTACCTCATTCATGCATGAACTATATACATTCTCACTTTCATACATAATGTTTAAAATTTCTCAATTTTATACATGATTTTTTTACCGTTAACGGATTCACACACTTCTGCCACGGAAAGTGACGTGGAACCATACGACAACGACAAGTGGCACTTTAAAAATATTTTTTTTATTTTTTAGGTAAATTACACCATTCATCACTCAACTATATTTTCACTCTTATTTTAGTTACTAAAGTTTAATTTTTTAATTTAATTATTAAACTATACAATTACTCTTATTTTAATAACTCAAATTTATTTTATTAATTTTTAATGACATGACATCTATTAATAACTCAAATTTATTTTATTAATATTTTAATAACTCAAAGTTTAAATTACTTTTTATTCTAATGTGGTTGCTTTAATATGCAATTAGAGTTTGAAAATTCCCCAAATAGGTTACATGCTCTTATTCTTTGTAAAAACTCCTTAAACCCTAACCCTAAATTAAATGAGCCTATGCTTTGTCCTTTTCCCAATTTATCATCAAATCAATTTTCAGCTTATCATAATTTCAAACCAATTGATTTCAAAAGAAACAGTGAACACAAAATTTTGGTATGAAAAGTTTTCCTTTGATTTACAAACCTGGGTTTTCCTTCTTCCCAGGAAATTTTTTCAAAACAACATAATATGGGTGGTCTTAGTATCATAACTCGATAAACAATGTTTCGAATTAACCCAAAAAACCTTGAGTAAATCGGCTGACATTTGCCTAACTGCCAACAAACAATTGCTCTGCATCAGCAACAACAATTTGGTCATCAATCTCCAATCCCCTGAATTCGAATAACCTGAAACCAATGCATTCCAAGACCTCACATTTCTCCCACACATTTCATTGAACACTTTATTCATCGCCTCAAACTCTCCACATTTCTCGTACATCGAAATCAAAGAATTCGAAACAACAATATCCACAACGAACCCATTTTTTATACTCTGGCAATGAACCAATTTACTCGCTACCAAGTCCCTGATTTCCCCAGCAACTTTTGAAACCGTTGCCAATGTAAAACAATCATACTTCACACTAAAACGCCCATTTCACGGAATAAATCAAAAGCTTCAATGTATGAGTAAGTTTTGAGATACCCATTGATCATGAGTTCCAAAGATAAACATTATTGTCTTTTATCGAATCGTAAACGGTTTTCGACTTGGTTAAGTGCCCAAAAGAGGCGTATAAAGAGAGGAGCTTTGATGTTGTAAAAGGGTTTTGAGTGAACCCGTGTAAGAGGATTTGAGCGTGGGCTTGCTTGGTGAAGTGGAGAGATTCATGGGTGGATGAGAGATTAAGGAAATGTAGGAGATTGAACCCGTTAACAACACCAAATCCTACCATATCTCCACTCTTTCTTCTTTACATGTCGATAACGCTTCCAGTAGCTTCAGTGACTTCTCGATTATCAAAATGATGGTGTTTGGTTGGGATAAAAGGTTCTTTAGCTCTAGGATTTTTTGGTGTTGGATTAGTTTGATTTGTATGCGTTTTGGAATTGTGATTGCAGTCAAACAAGATAAGCTTGCTTCGATCAATATTGGGTTCTTCTATAGTTTAATAATTAAATTAAAAAAAATAAACTTTAGTGACTAAAATAAGAGTGATAAGATAGTTGAATGATGAAGTTTACCTAAAAAATAAAATCATTTTTTTAAGTGCCACTTGTTAATTTGTTATAGGTCAGAGGATTCCACATCATCTTCCGTGATGGAAATAGATATACCCATTAACAGCAAAAAACATTATATAGTTAATCGAGAATTTTTAAACTTTATGTATGAAACTGAGAATTGAGTATAATTCATGTATACATGGGATAATTAACCCTTATTTTAATATTTACTTTACATTACATTGAGAAAATAGCAATGAATAATCATAGATTTCCCCAACAGATTTAGAGTATCCTACTCCCAAAGAAACTTTTTGGCCAATGTAATTCATATCTCCCACCAGATAAAAAGGCTTTAGATGTTCATGAACAACATCTAAGGACTGTGACCAAAACCCATTTTTAATAAAAACTACAAACTGTTCGATCACCGCCGTGAAAAAAGAGCATCCGAAAGAGGCTAAGGTCGGAAGAAGCATCAATAAACAATCTTCTTTCAAACACTTTGCATCATTCATGCACATGATTTCCATCAAAGATATCAGAAAGCACATCTCTGACTAATAATATAAACAGATCATTACTGACCTTTCTAATTTTTTGTCAAAAGGTTGGTCCAAAATCCTTTTGCTCCTTATTGCACATGACCCGGGGGAGGAACAATCGATAATTAGCTACAAAAACCAACTTAATGCCCCCTTCCTTTCGGCAATAAGGGATCTTTCCTTCACGGTTCCGGTTTAGCTTTTCATTTTGTTTACATATGAAAAACTGTGAATGCTCTAGACTAATATCAGCTTTGGAATAGCTATTCAAAAGAAGATAAATCTAATAGATCCCCTTTCTGCTACCGCACTCCTTTACTCTATGTCAGACTATATTTTCCTTTCCATCTTACCCACATCTCAAGAAAATAATATTTACCACTACAATGATCGAACTCTACGGAGCAGACACGCTGGTCTTTGCTGCTCCACAACTGGAACCACCTTCTCCATGAGCTGCAGTAAAAATCAACATGATGAGAAACTCTTTTAGGAAATTAATAGGCACAGCTTATTAGAGTATGCTCTGTTCTCCATAATTACATTTCTCTCTTAGGTATTGTTTGAGAACTAACACAACAACTAAAACCAAGTTATCTATATGTGTTAAAATACAAACTACATATCCGGTATTACATTGAAAGAATCATAATATTCCTCAACCAAAAATAATTACACTTATCTAGATATTTAAATCAAATTATGTTACTTGATGGAAACGGAAAAAGGACACATTAACAATTCTTTAACTTCCTATTAACAACGTAATCCTATATATTTAGTGCATTAGGTTATTCTTAAAACCTTCCCACTTTAATTTCTTATTAATACAAACGGTTCCAACTACACTTAAGATCAAACTATTTCTTTATTTTGACCAATCCCATTGAATCAGTTTAACCATTAATCTAACACTTAATGCTCTGATAAAAGCAGAGATTTATAACCTGCTTAAATCCTTCCTTAGTTCTCTCAGTCTGCAAGTAAAAGAATTGCAGTTAGAGATGAAAACATACACAATAAAATCTAGTGAAGTGAAAGACGTTGCAATGCATTAACATGGAAATTGTGAGCATTAGCTTACTCTACAAGATAGTACTACAATTTAGAATATACTAAGAAACAAAGGATAATAAGAAAACCTAAATTTAAGCTGCAAGGAATTAAGCGAGATACAACAAAATCAGTTACAAAGATTTTAAAGAAATTATGGAGAGAGAGAGAGTTAGAGAGAGAGAGAGTGAGTCTTTCAAAAGCAAGTTTTCTGTCGCTAATTTTAGTGAGGTTCATGGAGGAATTACTTGGTCAGCTTTCGTTGATAATCTTAGTAGGAGTGCGTTGTAGTGATTTATGGGCTCGTTTTAGTCATTTTGGTAAAGTTATTAAGGTGTTCATTCTGTTCATCAATAATAGACCGAAGTATAAGGTCAATACGTTCGCGTTCGTCCATTTCGCAAGCAAGGAGGATTTGTATAATGCTGTGGAAAAGATGAACAACGTCTTGATTGATGGGAGGAGGATTTCAGTGGTTGTAGCCAAATATCAGAAACTATATGGGTCAAAGAGGCATATAGATGGGAGGGTTGATGGGGTAAAGAGTGGTGAATTCAGTGGGGAAAAGGCTGGAAGATTGCCTTCTCCAGATGGAAGGGTGAGGAAGATGGAGATGCTGGATAAGTTTCATGATGGTAGGTCTTATAAGGAAGCGGTTGTTGGGATGCTTAAAGAGTCAGATGGTGTGCAAGAAGGAAGTCATTTTAATTCGAAGGAGTTGAAAAACACTAAGGATGTTTTTATCCCGGTGGAGGATAGAGTCTGGCTTAGATCGTCACTTACTGGTATTTGTAAAGATATTTTTGAATTTCATGTTGTGTAGAAAGCATTAAGGAATGACGGTATCAACGTAAAGGTTGTGAGGTGGGGTTTTGCTAAGAATGCGTGTCTGGTTGTGTTCCATGATGGGGTAAAGAATGGTGGATTCAGTGGGGAAAAGGCTGGAAGATTGCCTTCTCCAGATGGAAGGGTGAGGAAGATGGAGATGCTGGATAAGTTTCATGATGGTAAGTCTTATAAGGAAGCGGTTGTCGGGATGCTTAAAGAGTCAGATGGTGTGCAAGAAGGAAGTAATTTTAATTCAAAGGAGTTGAAAAACACTAAGGATGTTTTTATCCCGGTGGAGGATAGGGTCTGGCTTAGATCGTCACTTACTAGTATTTGTAAAGATATTTTTGAATTTCATGTTATGCAGAAAGCATTAAGGAATGACGGTATCAACGTAAAGGTTGTGAGGTGGGGTTTTGCTAAGAATGCGTGTCTGGTTGTGTTCCAATCGGTGGAGGAGAAGAATTTAGCGATGGAAGGAAAATGGGAAGCTTTGTCTTTTTGGTTTGAAAGGTTGGAGCTTGTGTTGGATGAGGAAAGTATACCTCAAGCTTTTTGCATGATTTCCATGATAGGAGTTCCTCTAAATTGCTGGTCTGTTCCGTTCTTCACTAGGGTGGTATCCAGGTGGGGTAAGTTAGTGAAAATAAAAGATGAAACTGCTCAGAGAGTTGATTGTAGAGTTGTGCAGATGCTTCTCAGGGTTGTTAGTCCTTTTGACATCCCTGATCATACTACCATTACTACGAATGTAAGGAAATTTTCGATAAAAATTAAAGTTGATGGTGGGGATGATTTCTTTCCAGAATTTTTAGAAATGGCTGAAGAGGATGATTCAGAAGATCCTTGGGTGGAGAGATCCTCCGTTTGGAGTCTAGAGGATGTTCAGGCGCAGCATGGAGGTCACGTGGGTTGTCAGGAAATGTCAGAAACCCATAATAGGGTGCAGGAATGGGTCCTAGGTACACAACTTGGTAATATCACAGAATCCGAGAGAGTTGTCTCCTCTCAGCAGGAAAAGTCAAAAGCCCTTTTTGAAAGTGAGAGAAACGGGAAAAGTTCAGGGGGGATCTCTATAAGCAAGACAAAGTTGACCAGGAGATTGGGTTTCATATAGGGCTTGGAGAATATCGGTTGAGTGGCCTGGATCAAGAAAAGGGCCAATTATCTATGGGTCGTCTATCTATTTCACCAGTTACAGTTAAGGAGTCGGTCAGGAATGAAGATGGAGGGGTGGCTGAGGTTGGTTTGAAGTTGATAAGTTCAATAGCTGGTTCACAAACAAGTTCTGCTAGTTCTCTATCCATGAAGACTGCTCCAGTTGGAAGGAAATTAATCAAAAGTCACAAAAATATTTATTGTAGGTCGAATGATAGAAAGATCTGGAATCAGGTTATGCAGGTTCGTAATAATGTGCAGGATTGCAAGGAGAATTCACGAGGGGCATTAAAGGGTGAATTGGGTAGAGCTTTAATTGTTAGAGGTTGTCTTTCTGAAATTTCAGAGGTTGTTGGTTGTTCTGTTAAGGATATGGCCAGGTCTAGGGCGAACAGACCTTACAGAAGACTTAAAAGGCATCTCATTAGGGAAGCAGTAGATCATACTAGTGTTGATACAATATCCTCTTTAGCTTTTCCTTTTCTATTGGAGGAAGCAATTACTACATGGGAAATTAGCAAGATATTGGGAATATCTTTCAAAGAGGGGAAGGAAGCTTTTCTAAATAAGATTGTTGAATTGGAGAAAGGGTTGAGTGGGGCTACTTGACCTCGAGTTATGTCCTTTGGCTATTTTGGGTTATATTCATTTTGAGTATTATGACTAAGCTAAGTATCTTGTCTTGGAATGTGAGGGGGTTGGGTAAAAAAGAGAAACATAGGGCTATGCAAAAACTTGTTTCTGAGAAAAAACCATTGGTTCTTTTCCTTCAAGAAACAAAACTAGAAAAGTTTCCAACATCTTTTTTCATGAGAAGTGGTTTGAATAGGCTGTAGGGGTTCATTGAGTCACCAGCTATTGGCTCATCTGGTGGTATCTTAAGTTGTTGGGATGATTATACTTTTGAGGTATAAGATCAGCATATTCATAGGAGGTTTATTGTTGTCTTTGGTAAGTTCAAGTCCAACCGTTTTAGGTGTGGCTTCATAAACGTATATGGTCCGTCTGTGGAGGAAGAGAAGGCTGGTTTTTTCGATGATCTGGAAATGTTTTTAAGCGGGTTCAGTATTCCTTTGTGTGTGGGTGGGGACTTCAATGCCTACTTAAATGAAGAGGAGAAGTTAGGCAGAGCTCAGAACAGGAATTCAGTGGAAATTTTTAATCATTTTATTCAACAAGCGGGGCTTATTGATTTGCCAATTATTGGGGGGATTTTTACCTGGAGCAGTAATCGGGAGTTGCCGACTTTTGTAAAATTAGATAGGTTTCTAGTGAACTCTTATTTCTTAGCAGAATTCTCCAATATCAACCAGTTTCTATTGCCTAAATCTATTTCCGACCATAATGCAATTATTTTGGAGACTGGGGAAGAAAATTGGGGTAAGAGACCCTTTAGGCTGTTTAGCTATTTATTGAATGAGGATGATTTTGAGAAGATGGTTGCTGAGTCTATTAAGGTGTTCAAGGAAGAGAAGTCAAGTGCTGGAATTTTTAACATTCTCAGGAATACTAAGATTGCTATTAAGAGCTGGTCTAGGGATAGAAAACAGTTTCCTCTAGTGGACATTTTTGTGATACAAGATAAAATTCATCAGATTGAAATGAGGATGCAACAAAATATGTCTCACAATGCTGTTGTCAATTCGACAAAGTTGAGGCTCTTGAGAAATGAACTTTGGAGACTACTCAGAATCGAGGAGCAAATTTGGGTTCAAAATTCGAGAGAGAAGTGGGTTAATTATGGAGACCGTAATTCTAAGTATTTTCACACTTGCGCATCCATTAGGAGAAGGAAGAATTCTCTGCTTGCTCTCAACGTTGATGGTGTCACTACCAAAGATCCATAATCTTTTGTTAGAGAATGAGTTTACAGAAGATGAGATTTGGGAGACTATCAATTCTTGCGACAGTAATAAAGCCCCTGGGCCTGATGGGCTGAACATGGGTTTTTTTTTAAGAAATTCTGGTCTATTTTGAAAGGTGATATATTGAAGTTTTTCCATAATTTCTATTTAGGAAAGGAGTGGGAGCATGTCATTAACCATTCTTTCTTAACCCTCATCTTGAAAGGCTCAAATGTTGGAAACTTAGATAATTTCATACATATTTCCCTTGTAGGTGGGATGTATAAGATCCTTTCTAAGTGTCTTTCGAGAAGGATGAGATGTTGCATAATGATATTATCAGTGAGACTCAATTTGCTTTTATTCCTGGAAGATAAATTTTGGATTGTTCTTTTATTGCTAATGAATGAGTTGAT